TTCAAACCAGCCTCTGAGAAAGAGTAAAAACATTGGACGAAGTCACAAAGTACTCGTTCTCGCAAAACCATTTCATCTCTTTACGGTATCTGTCCGAATCCTCCTCATCGCCACCATCTGAAGAGGCAGCTGTTTCGCCTCTTATTACCAAACTATTGGCGTCACGGAGTTGGCGAGGATGTGGACTGAATGCTAAAATCTAGTCCTCTTGTTGCAATTCTTAATTTTATTTTGCATCGGCATATTAGTTTTCCTGTAGATTTCAAGGTGTTATCGAAAGACCTGCAAAATGCACCAAAAGCATGTTGGTGCGGGTTTTTCGTTGACAGATGTGCATTAAACATTAAAAATTCATTATTTTGTGAGTAAGTGTAAAAGTTCACCCAAATGCTTATCGGATAGACAGATTGCATAAAACTTCTCTGCAATGTCGGTCCACAATTTCTCAGAATAAATTGTTTTATGCACATCCAAATCAGTAATCTGAGTGAGTCATTTGAATTTGTAGAACACTACGAACAAGTTAATTTCTATGCATTCTCGCAGGTCAAGCATATAATAATGATCAGTTGTTATCAGTTGAATTATTTTATTCTCATTCAAGGGAAAAGGAAGAGAGGGCAACGTGAACACAAAATGGGCATTTGTTACCCAGTAAGGACATTCGCGTATCAGAACATCCGCAATGTGGACGCCGTTTTTAATTACTTCATAAACAAGCGAAACATTGTCGTAGACGTCGGTTGCCAAGTGTTGGGCGATAATTTTTGTGTCCAAAAATTCGATGCGCACTTGTGAGTTGTGTACGAAAGTAGAGACGAAGGCAAAGTCAGTAGGAAATGACACGAGGGCTTACAGTGGTGTCGAAGAATAACATCATTCGATTTTGTGGCTAGAGTTGGGAAGTGGGATCGTATTTTTGTGTAGTTAATGCACATTCAAACAACCTTAAAGATCACATGGAGCATCAGTGGGCGAAAAAGCTACATTTGATTGTAACAAAATTATGGAATAAAAATCGGGATTTAATACTCTTTGGGTGGCCCAGCACTACAATCACAGCACTGAAAACCACGGCAACCGAACGGCTACGGGGCTAATGACTCACCTGCCGATCGTCGAAATCTTAGTTGAGGTCTCTGGGAAGGGAATTCCCGCAAAGCATTCGGGCAGTGTAGTTTCGAAACACGCAAACATCCAACCCAAATTTGAACCCACTTGAATCGTTTTGAGACGCCGAAAGAGTCGTGGCATCTGATGCCCTCTGCAACACGGTATATTTGGTGGATAGGTTAAGTCAGAGGCCGGCGGAAAATGTGAATTGGCAAAGTTAAAAACTAGACATGCAAAAAGTTGTATGCACCTTAATAAACTTGGGGTGTGTGACAATTTAGGCAAAGAGATGTGAGGCCGCGTACTACGCAGTACGGAGGTAGCATGCGGAAGAGACAATCATTCATAAACCTCTCTGCTTTCCGGACGATGACTGCATACAAACTATGGCAGATCCAGTTCGTCTTTTAATGCATAATTTATTTCAACCGTACCAGTCTGTCAATTCCTGTTAATGTGTTTCGGCTTGGAGAGATTATAAATGACCAATTATGTCATTATGGGTGGTGTAATTTGAACACTAATAGCTTTAAAAAAGGCTGCAAGTGAGATATTACCTTCCGGGAGAGTAGTCCTTGCGCCATTTTGAGGATGGCTTAAGGAAATTCCTGTCCATAAATTATTTTCGCACTTGGAGAATAAATTGTGAAATAATTTCTATGATTCCCCGAATTAGTCTATCAAACTATTACCACATGAATGCAACGTTGTTTTGTGGACGCAATACTTTGAAAATTTTACAATTGATTCAGCATTTTACTTTCGAGGTTACAAAAGTCTCCCTTTCTTGTACTTTCACAGGCTATGGCGAAATTTCAGATCCCCCTTTAGGGAGACACCGCCCAATCTGGTCGAGCACTCTGCCCCGTCCCGCTCTTGGTGGGAGCTCGAAGTGCGACGATGGCCCTGGGAAGCGTACGAGTGGAAGACTGTATGAATTTTAAAACTGGCAGTGCTGATAGCCTCCACCTGGGCTGTCATGTGTCCATTTTGATTCATTTTATTTTTATTCGCATGAAGACCATAAAGGTCAAACAGTTTCCTTTCATGATAATGTTGCTGAGTAAAAAGGCTCATAAAAATGGACTCATAGTCCGAAAAATTCCATGAATGATAAAAGGCTATTGCAATCTCAACTCTTATTTAAGCACGATCTTTTGCTTTTGGGGTGTGGAGATGCTCTTCGGGGTAGTGCAAACTAAGCTTCGGGCGCAAGAACAGCTGTCTTTCCAAATAATATCTGGAATTATGACACAAAACTCCGAATTCAACAGTGTCGCCCTTCCATCTTATTGAAGTGGTTGACGCATATCGCTGAGCTCTCAGCTCTTCGATGAGATTGAAGTGTACAACTTTTACTACCACTTACCTCATGTTGCGCCGTTTTAAAAATGATTTCATGTTTACGTGATTATGACAACTTTGCGTCGACCTATATGGAACACAAAAATGACTTACTCAAATTGAAAGGCAGGTTTCAAGAGCTTAGTCCATAGATGAAACTGCTTTTGGACTCAAAAAAGTAGCTGAAAGTGATACACTTTACGCCAAAACATTGAGAAGAAATAGTGAAAGTGGACGCTTGTACCAAATTCTGCGGGATTTTACAAAAAAATCTTTCTAATTCCAAGATCCATGCAGCACTTAAGCCTAATTTTGGACCGAAAAACTGTCTTTGTCCATTATACATCCTTTAATTACGAGGTAGTGATTGCTGCTTTAAACAATTGTGATTTTTTGTTCTTCTATGGTCCATAACATTTGGAGCACTCATCGCCGCCGCCATTCAACTCGCTTTATGAATTATAACTATGAGCTTTTGAATTGCATTATTCCAGGCCGTTTCCAACAGCCCTGATTGGCGGCACTGAAGAGGTTCCTTCCTTATCGGTGATGCATCGTCACAATTTTAAGGCTTGTCTCGGCAGTAAATGCAAGCAGTTTCCTTAAGTCGAACAAATTCTTAACTCCATTTATTAGCCCATTAAACTTTAGAGTTTGTTCCATGTTTTAACCTTATTAACTGGTAGGAGTCGCTTGATTCACTCCTTGGGTGAATTTATGGATCCACTGGAAGGATTTTCGTCATCTTCTGCTGTATTCCAACTAAGAGCAGTGGAATCACGACCATTAGTAATATTATAGTAGCAATATGTAACAGCTTGCATAGTGCAAATTGCATAGCTAATTTTACTACACAAATCTGTCCAATCTTCACATGCAACTGCTTTCGTCACCTGATTTGTAGAATGTTTACTTCTCCTGCTTGGCTCAAGTGTTCGCCCTCTAGACAAAAAAGCATAAATTTCTTGATCAAGTCAAATAGCACAGGAGGTGCACTTTTGTATTGCGTATGACAC